GTGCTATTTTGAGCGAGGTTCCTCACCCGCCTTGCTCGCGGGATCTTACCGTCAGCTCCACCTCAGTTAGAAAAGAGACGCAAAGGCCAAGCAATGCCCCGCCACCGTGCGCTGAAGGAGAGAGGAGCGGCTGAATCCATGTGCACCCGGCTCCAGGGCCAAACTCGGCCTGGCTTCATTTTTATCCAGTAAGTCTGTCCCCAGATCAGAAGAGCAGTTTGGGATTTACGCTAGGTGCTTCACAAAGGAGGAACTCCTGTGCGGTAGAGAAAGGGACCAAACATTCGGCAGGAAAGAAGGTCCCACCGAAGGGCTGTAGGGAGACACAGGCAGAATGGAAGCCTGACTGCGTCCGAACAAACGTGGGTGGCTGCAGAGGCGCCCCGCACCGGAGTATGCGGCTGCACCCACATGGGGAAGACGGGTTCTCCTCCCGGGGCCACCCCGAGCACGCCGGGCCTCCGCGTGTACCTGTGATCCAGGTACTCGCCAGAACTCGGCATGACGGCTCCTCTGGCGGCATGTCTCTCTCATGGAATAAAGAAACTGAAAACCGGGGTGGGGTCAGGCTCAAGGCCTCCCTTCGGCTTTGCAGGGGTGGGAGTGGGCAGGGGCATGTGGGATGAGGAGCAGACGCCGCAGTGGCTGCGACCACCATGCCCGTGGCTTTGCTGGTGGCACACACGGTGGGGGTTTGGGCCACGTGGCGTGCCCTGTCCCTGCTGCCATCAGGTACAAGAGGAATTCCATCTTGGCCAGGACTGCAGAGAAACCTGGGTCCCGGAGGGCTCAGGCGCTGCAGGGTGGGCTCCCTGAGGGGCAGCAGCTCGACAGCACACCCAGCTGGCTGGTCAGGGGATGGCTCCTCACGCGCTCCAAGAGCAGGGGCTTGGCAAGCGTGCACCGGGTGGCTGGCTGGGAATGGGACAACGTAACTCCCACCTGTGAGCCGCCCACCTCAGCTCTTCCCTGCACCTGGCAGTCCTCCAGGCCCGACAGCAGGCGTGCTGGACATCAGCCCGAGGTGCTCCCAGCCAGGAGGGCCGTGTCCTCTGAACGCCCACAGCTCGCTAGGGTCCCAGCTGCCAGCCACTGCCCACCAGATCCAGCCCCTCCGTGTGGACCTGGAAGGCTGTGGGCACAAAGGCCTCTCCTCAGAGGCCAGCGGACGGAGCTCGGGACTGTTCTTCCTACCTGCCATGTTTTCGTTCTCATGTGCCCAGATTTGGGGAGTGAGGATACTAAGAAATTTTTTTTTTTTTTGGAGAGATTTTCACTACAGGGCGCGTGCGCTCGCCAGACAGACAGAGAGAGACACAGAGACAGAAAGCGAGAAATCACCCCCCAGAGGGGATGGTCACGCCGCAATCCCTTCTCCTCCATTCTCCTCTCGGGATCTTGGGCACGCACGCACACGCGCCCGGCGTGAGTTTTAAGCCACCGGGTCCAGGACGCGAACCGCGGTCGACTACGTGGGAGTCCAGCGACATAGCCATTACGCTAACTGCTGGTTCCCAAGGATACTAAGAAATTTTGAAATCTCTCTCTCTCTCTTTTTTTTTTCTTTTTTTCTGCTTTACAAAAAATTGTTATTCGTTCACTTCTTAAATAAAACAAAGACTTTGGTTTCAAACTGACTTTAATTAATGCCATTTTGACAAGATATTCCCACACCAGGGGGGAATATCTTGCTTTGAGCCGCCTCCTCCAAGCCTTTTTACCTCACCAACCCCACCACCTTGACGCCTTCTGGAGGGCAGTAACTGCGGTTTCCAGAGCATCCTCCAGAGAGGAGCCAGACAGAAAGGACATTTTCTGGGGACAAAAGCAAGCAGCATCACCCAGGGACGCCAGTGCCCCGGGGATGTGATCTGGGGAGGCTGCAGACCCACCCGTATGCCTGTCAGCTGCATACCAGGCCTGGGTCCCACACGGGAGGAAGACGCCCCCACGTCAGGGCAGCCTGGGAAGGGGACACAGAGCAGATTGGCACATGAGGAGCTGCCCGTGTCCTTCAGGGCCTTCACGCAGAGGTGCAGACCAAGGGCACTCGGGGGACTGGCTGGCTCTTCCCCGCCAGCTCTGTGAGGTCAAGGAGGAGAGCTGGTAGACAGGAAGGGCTTGTCCAACGTGCTGGGACATCGCCCTGCGAATTCTGGGGAGAGTCAGGTCCAGGGGTTTCTAAATCTCCACATTAACACATGGGGGTCTAGGAAAGATGTTCGCAGAAGGACCTCTGTGACCTGATAGGAGGTGGAGAGTCCCAGAGCCCGTCCCCACGCCTGGTGCCTCTGCTTCTCACTCTCAGTTCAAAGGTCACATTGCAGAGGGCCCAGTGCCTCACCCCACCTCAGTGGTGACGCTCCCTGCTGCATTTTCATAGCTCCCCCAGGATTCATGTACTGAAAGCTGACTGCATGGTGAAGGTATTAGGAGGGCAGAGAGCTAACGTGAATGTCGTTAAGATGAAACCTTCGGAAGATGGTCAGGGTCAGATGTCATCAGCTGGCCCAGTCCTGGTCGCTGTACAGCAAGAGCACACAGTGGGGTGGGGAGCGAAGGATGATGGTGACACAGCAGCAAGACTGACCTACATGGGGCGGTCCCCGGTTCGCAACGAGGGCCCCCCTCCAAGTACCTTGGGTATGCGCGAGCCTGTGACCCAGGGCCGAGGGGGCCTGGGGTGAGCACAGCACTGGGGCCTGCTGCAACTCTGCCTGCCATGGAAGAATAAAGGAACGGTCTACGTTTTAAAAAAGAAGAGGACTAAGAGTTGTGTGGACACAGACATGTGTGTTCCTGCCGTACGACAATCTGTGTGCTTTGGGACTCTGCGGACCCCCCAGCGAGACCCCCCCACACGTGGCCCATGACTTGGGACAACTGAAAAATAAGTTAAAGGGCCTTCTGTTCTTTAAAAACCACAGCCCAGCAGGTGGCATGGTGGTTAAGGTGCCGGATTCCCAACACGGCCAAGTGTGGTTCAAGTCCCAAACCCAGCAGCCTGAACCATGCTGAGCGTGTGTGTGTCTGAAATCCCAAGATGAGAATGGAGCAGGGAGTGTGGTGTGGCCATGTCCCCTAGTGGGTGATTTTTCCCTCTCTCTGTCTCTCCAGCAAGTGCAGGTACCCTATGGCAGAAACTCCCCCGCAAAAAAAAAAAAAAACACCCAAAAAAAAAAAAAAAAAAAAAAAAAAAAAAAAATCCTCACTCTGGTATTTATTAGCCACACAACTAACGAAGACACACACCCACCTAGGGTGGACAGACTGACGCCTCAGAACATGCCACCCATAGGCCGAGCCTAAGCCTGCAGAGCTAGACCCTCCTCCGAGGATGCTGTTAACGCTCTTTGTAAACAGCAGAAAGTCGGGCCTATCCGTGTTCTGGCGCCTCCATGTGCCTGCCTGCCTGCCTGCCGGGGGACGCGAGGCAGCCCGCTGTTCTGTGAAACCACCTCTGAACATGGCTTCTTGCCTCCCTGACAGCACTTCAGGCCGCCCTCCAGACACCACCCCGTCCCGGCACCTTTCTGTGGGATAAATGGGCAAATCCCTTGGTCCTTTTGTCCGGGGGCTCTGGTGTCGCTTCAGAGCTGAGCGTCTTGGACAGAGGCCGTGGAATGGAGCAGGTCACGCTGCGACAGCAGAGAAGACCGCAGGGTCCACAGCTGCATGCTCAGGGCGAGCTGTCCTGCCCCCAGGCCTCTTGTGAAGGCCCCCTGTTAGGGGTAGCCATGGCAGGGAGGGGTCGGGCCCAACCAGACCCAGGATCAGGTCCCTGTCCTCAATAACAAGTGACAGCACCAGCAGCCAGAGTCTACTGGGCAGAGAAGCAAGCAAGGTGGGGTTCTGCCTGGGAAGTCTGAACTCCAGCCCTGAGAGGGAGCTGGCAGAGGGAGGGAGCCGGGCCGGGGCTTCCTGGGAAGCGCATCAGCCAGATGACAGTGGGAATTAGCATCAGAACACCTTGATGAAAGGAAGGAAGAACAGGCTGAGTTCCTGAATGAAAAATAGATTACTCACTGTCAGGCTGAACAATAGAAGCAGACATAAATAGCAGCCCTGCGCAGGACATGCCAATTCTACTCCAAATGCTGTGTGCAGGCTCCTGCAGCCCTCCAGAGAGCGGTGCCAGGGCCGAGTGTGTGCCCGCCGAGCAGATGGGGATGGAGGGAGACGGGGGAGGGGGCGGTGGAGGGTGACAATGGCCTCTCAGTGAGGGAGGAATGTGGCTTTCGAGCCAGAGATCCATGCAGGAGTCCAGCTCCCTTATACACAACTGCGTGTACGGGTGGAGGGAGGGTGGGGAAACACGGGACAGGGATGGAAAGGCGCAGGGGGCTTGGGCTGCCTGCTTGGAGAAGTGGCCTGCCTGAGCTTGAGTTCCCCTGAGAGAACAAGGCTCCGACATCTCCCCCAGAACCGCAGGCAGTCCTGCAGATAAAGCGGCCTGCTGGCCAAGCACTCAGGGCAGGGGCTGACCGGGGGCTGCCAGGGGTCCAGAGCCAGGCACTGGGCGCTGCTGGTTCCACTGGGCTCTGCTGACCAGCACTACGCAGCCATTCCCAGGAGGCTGACCCGCTCACCGGAGCCGACTCACCGCTGCCTGGTCCGTCCTGCGCCCAGGCGCCTAGAGGGTGGGCTGTGATGTGCCATTTGGGGGCCGCTGTCACTCCCCTGTGCACTGAGCGGGCTCTCAGCCCTGACTGTCCTGACAGGCTGCTCTTACAGGGTCCCGTGGGTCCCAGAAGGAGACAGTCCATCATACCCGCGTCAAGGCTCATAGCCACGACTCAGGCTGACGGTGGCTCCCATGGCTCCCCCTGAATTGAGCCCGTGGGCCGCTCTCAGTGGAGTGGAGCCACAGGCGTGTGCTGTCCCTACTCGTGGAGGAGGGGGACACGGCACCACCTGACCAGGCCCCCTGGAAGAGGGTGCTGCCTGCTTCAGTTCCCCGGCCAGGAAGGGGGTGGCGGGGCTGCCTGGGTTCGCCTTACCTTGGTGAAGGTCAGACAGTCCTTGTCTTGGTCCTTGTCCTTCAGCTCGAAATCATAAAGTGCTTTGCCCTGGGGCGGGACGGGCGGCAGCGGCCGGATGCACTGCACGTAGCTGGCCGGCAGGAAGCCGTGCGCGCCGTGCAGCTCGCCGTGGTACCAGTGCTCGTCCACC